TAAATCAAGAAGCCTATGGTCATGTGCGGCTTTTTATGTTAATAAAAATGCAGAGATAGAAAGAGGAGTACCAAGATTAGTAATAAATTATAAACCACTAAATGCAGCATTAAAATGGATAAGATACCCAATTCTTCCAAAATAAAAAAGATTCTTTTAAAGAAATTGTACATGCTATATTTTTTAGTAATTTGACATGAAATCAGGTTTATTGGCAAATTACAAATTTCCATCCTTAGAGATAGATATAAAAACCGCATTTACTGCCCCTTGTCGGTCAATATGAATTGAATGTAATGCCTTTTGGATTAAAAAATGCGGCCTCAGAATTTCAAAGATAATGAATGAATATATTTAACCCATATTCAAAATTTTGTATAGTATTATATTGATGATGTGTTTAGTATTTTGAGTCAAAAACTATTGAAAAACCATTTCAAACATTTAAAAACCTTTCTGTTATGATTATAAGAAAAGAATGTTTGCACTTAGGTCCAACTAAAATGGATTATTTTAAAACTAAAAATTCAGAATTTTTATAGGACCATATATTGAACAATGAAATAATCAAACCGTATAGAAGAACTCTAGTGCTTTTGGAGAATAATTTCCTAATGAAATCAACTTAATAAAATACAACTTCAACGATTTTCTTGGTGTTTTAAATTACGTCATTTGATTTCTATTCCTAATTTTAAATTGTATGATAAAAAACCCTTTACTGATAGACTTAGAAAAAATACTGGTCCCTTGGACCGACAAACATACACAATTGCGTAAAAAAATATTAAATCAACAATTGGTAAAAAATATTAAATCATTAGTAAAAGAAATTCCTTACTTATATATCCCCAATCCAACTGCATTTAAAATTGTAGAAACAGATGCATCCAACATAGGATATGGAGGCATCTTAAAACAAAAAATCAATGGTAAAGAGCGTATAATCCAATATACGTTAGGACATTGGAATCCGACACAGATAAATTATTCCACCATTAAAAAAGAAATTTTAAGCATAGTTATATGTATACATAAATTTCAATCAGATTTATTAAATCAAAAGTTTTTGCTCCGCATTGATTGTAAATCTGTTTACTCAGAATTGATTGTAAATCTGCAAAAGATGTTTTGCAAAAAGATGTTCAAAATCTTGCTTCTAAACAAATTTTTGCAAGATGGCAAGCACTCTTAAGTATTTTTGAATTTGATATTGAATATATTAAAGGGAATACTAATAATATCCCAGACTTTTTGACACGAGAATTCTTACAGAACAATGGGAAAGAAGAAGGATAAAGGGAAAGAATCAGATTCACCTACTAAAGCCCTTTCAGACCATTCTGAAGATCTCAATAAAACCCTTACTCTAAACAGTAAACCAACCCCTTATAAAGACCTCAAAAAATGGATTGAAGAACTCAGTCAATCTCCAGAGGTATTAAAGGCCTTGCAAGGTATGGCATCTTCTTCCACAGAAGATACAGGTATAATTTCTAAAACTCAAGCGATCGTATCCGCTCATGGTACGACTAAGTCTGTCTCAAACGGTAGACAGTAAAGACATATCAAATCCGTTGATGGCTGTGGATTTGCCAAAAATCCAGTATTCTAATACTAGTAGTATTCATAAATGGTTTGGAAAAAATGTTTATGATTATGAAATTGAAGTCGAGGACGGATATAATAATATTAATCCTTGGCAAATCATAAAGCATTATTATCCCGAGGATTGGTATTTTGTTCCAACTGATTTTTCAAAACCTCAGGAGTATTATCATAATATTTTAATAGATACTGGTTCTGTAAAAATAAAACACACTTTTGATCCAAAACATAAAAATGTAATTTCTTATTCTTCTATTCAAATAAAACGGGTTATTCATCCTAAAGATTGGCCCGTATCTTCACTTTCTACTCCAGTAAGATTTAAAGTTTTACATAATACTCAGTAAGATCCAGTAAGATTTAAAGTTTTACATAAACACAATACTACATATAATTATTTTGACTACAAAGAAGCTTGGGAAAAAGTTTTTTGTATTCAAAATCGAACTACCACTCATTCGTGGTTAGTATATTTTGATCAACATATCCGAACCGATTTAAAAATCCCAAACTGGTTTAAAAAGTGGTGGCAGTCAAGAGGTATCTCCGAGGAAATTATCCCTCCTGATATCATTTCTTTATATCATTATTTTAAATCTCACTATAAACCTAATCCTGGAGAAGTCCATATTCCATCCTTGATGTATTACTGTATGACTTTCTTCACCCCTTGGGTATACACCCCTTTGGGTTATATCAGTGTGTATTTTGATTATCAATATAGTTCCAGGAACTCAAATCCTATGTTGGTAAAAAAGACAAACAAATTCAAATGTGTGGGGGATCATTTAAAATACCACTACTGATTAAGATCAGTCAATGAGATTCGTACTAAAAAATAACTAAATCTTCCCATTGCAGCAATTAACCTATTGCCAAATACACATAGCAATCCGGATAACCCTACATTTTGGATCCAGGGGATAACCCTACATTTGGAATCCAGAAAGCACAGTGTCAAGCCCGGTTAGCTGCGGCTAAAACTCCAGAAGAATATAAATTGATCTGTCAAGAAATGTTTCAACATCTTTCAACCAGCTCAGAATTCCCAGTAAACCCATCATCCAGTAAACCTCGAGGAGTATCATCTGGTCAATCCTCATCTAAAACCAGTCATAAAGGCAAAAATAAATGCATTTCATCATCATCATCATCTTCAGCAGTCTCTCTATCTTCTTTTGAAGACAGTGATGAAGACGATATTATGCCAGCAATAAAGATCAAAAGTAAAGCAGATAAAAAAGCAAAAGCCAGAAAAGAAAAACTAAAGCAGAAAGAAAAAAGAAAAGAAAAAATAAAAAGAAAAGAAAAGAAAAAGAAGGACACATCATCGTCCTCGTCTTGTTCTGATTCACTATAAAATAAGGCAGAAGGAACCTTATTCCTTCCACCCACTTCCAACCATTAATTTCCACAGTAAAGCCAAAAGCTACTATTTCCACAGTAAGCCAGGTTTACTATTTCCACAGTAAGGTCAAGATTCGGTGGCAGACCAAACCAACTGTTTCTCCACCAGTAAGGTTCAAGATTTTGGTGGCAGGACCAACCACTGTTCATCACAGTAAATTGTCAGGATTCGCGGTGGCAGACCAACCACTAACCACTGTTCATCAACAGTAAAAGACAAACAGTAAAGATTCTTAATTTTCTTATAAGTAGGGAGCCTCTCCCCTTGTGAAGGCATAAGCTAGATATACCTCTCTTTTCTTTAGAAGTCCCTCTCCCCTTTTATTCTCAGTTTATTGTAAGCGTTCAAAGTTGGAGAAAGTTTAATTATAAAACCTTGGTAAGTATTAAATATTGTATTATATTTAAATTTAGTATTTTGTATTTAAATAAAATTGTTTAAATTTGTTTAAATTTGCTTCCATAAGTCCGTGTTGACGGCACCTTTCTCTTCTTCCTCCACACTCTGACTTAATTTTGGGGATCCCAGGTTAAGGTTGCAGGAACCCTAAACTTCCATTTTACAGAATTGTTTTGACGTGTTCTGTGCGTTTGTTGCTAAATCATCTTTAAGTTAATTTCATTTATGTAATTCATATTATGTATTTCGATCCATATTATGTAATTCATATTATGTATATATAATTTACAATATATAATTTTAATTTACATATAATATATATATAGTATATATATTATATATAATATATATTTTTAATATTATAAAAAAATATATATATATTATATATATATAAGTTTAGAAACATTTTTTAATTCCATATATATATATAAGTTTAGAAACCATTTTTTAGATTCCATAACAATTTTAAGCAAACTTACTAATTTATCTTTATATTTTGCCAAATATATAATTTTTTGTTTTTTCAGGAATACCTGATTTTATTTATATCTTTTGCCTTTGTTACGCTATTATACCGTTCTGTCAATTTTTTTTTATTTCTTTCTTCTTAAATATAGGGATATTAGTTAATAAATTTTATCAAAATATGAAAATAATATAGTTAATAATTACATAAATAGATAAGTTAGTTTGACAAAATAGTAATTTATTAAAACAAAGTGTAAAAATTTGACATAAATATATAACAGGGTAATGAAAGTAAAAGTTAAAAATAAAACTATGGCTCCGTTTGTTTACGTAAAATAATTTGAAGAAAAATATTTTTCACATTTTTCTGTTATTTGGAGGAATTCAAAAAAATAAGTCTACTGAAAATATTTTTCTGATCAAAGGAAAATTAAGTCATTTTTAAGAAAAATGACTTCTCAATTTTAAGAGCGTAAAATATTTTCTAAACTTTGACAAACTTACTGTAACCTTATAAATTTATTTTTTTTAATTTATTAATGATAGATAGCCACTACCCCCACTAACCTTTCATCACCACCGTCGGCCACCACCACTGCTCACCGCGACTTTTATAATTTACCTTTTTTTGCATTATTATCATATTTAATAATAAAATTTTTAAAATATAAAATTTATATTATTATTATTATTATGGATTTATGAGTTAAAAATTTTAATATTTTTAACTAATTTTTAATATTGCAGTCAAACAATAAAAAATAAATCATTTGAAAAATATCTTTTAAGGAAAATTAAAGATAAGTTATTTTTGAGAAATAAATGGGGACCCAATATATATATACACGGAACAAATCATAATTTTTCAGAATTTTAATTGAATTATCTAAGACAAAAAAAAAAAAAAAAAAAAAGGAGGAGAGAGACGTCCAAACTCATTCATCCGGCCAGAAACCCAAACAAGCCCATTAACTATCAAAGAAGTCTGTATTTGACCTGACCGAACCTTACTCTTGCTACCCAGTAACAAACCAGAATAGATCGTCTCGTCTCTTCTCCAAAGCGTACATTTTATCAAAAAAAAAAAAAAAAAAGAGAGAGAGAGAGACGTCCAACTCATCATCCGGCCCAGAAAACCCAAAACAAGCCCATTAACTATCAAAAGAAGTCTGTTGTTGACCTGACCGAACCTTACTGCCTGCTACCCAGTAACTAACCAGAATAGATCGCTACTCGTCTCTTCTCAAAGGTAACATTTTTATCTTCAGTTCTTTCTCTATAATCTATAAAATTCCTCTCTCAAATGCATCCTTGTATGGGTTTTTGATTCCGTTGTGTTCTGTTTTCTCTTACTGCATCTCAGTTTTTATAAACTGGATCGTGATTCATGCCCATGACTCTATGGTTTTTCTTTTCACAATTCTATTTGATATTGATTCTCTTAATTACATCTGCTAACTGTGATTTCATATCATTTGATCATTTTTATTAAAAAATCAACTAAAATATTGTTTAGAAGGTGACTGATTCTTATCATTTTGCTTGGTTTAAAATTTTGGTTGAACTTACAGTAATTAAGTTTAGGATTTAGGACCACCAGTTGATTTGATAAGTGGGTATTGCCAATTTTGAATGTAGTTTCTTGGTAAGCTAGATAAGGAAAGTAGATGGGAAGGTGAATGCATGAACAGTGAGGTTTAGGTGGAGTGCATGATTTCGTTGGATCTAAGTTTAGGATAGTAATGGCTATGTGTGTTAATATGTGATCCATCATATGTATGGAAAGGACTAATTTAGGAACGTTTGTATTTACATTGCACACACAATCTTACATGGGAGATAAAGTCGAATCGGAATGATGCTTGTGAGGAGATTAAATGTACAATAACCTCATGTGAGTTCTTTAGTTTTGTATTATTCTAGTGAATTGCTTGTTTCAGGTGTAGATGAGATAGTAGACGTCTTTATGGAGGATGTTCTTTCTTCAAGTACTGTCCAGTGCTCACTATTAGTAGTTTTAATATTAACCTTGCAGAATAATAATGCTCTTTTTCTTTGCTCCATTTAAATGTATGAAAAAAAAATTAAACATGAATTTGATAGCATTATGTTGATTATTGGATTGCACTTGTATTTTCTTTGAACTAGCACTTGCACTTTATATGTAAGATAAAGGACTTTGCAGTAGTCTAATGTGGTAAGATATTAGCCTTTTACAGCATATATTTGTCTTCTTTTAATATGCTTAATTGTACAGTACATTTGTTTTCATGAGTCTAATTGGTTCAGGACAATCTAGTGCACCGCAATTTCGGTGATGGAAGAAAATGTAGACCCTGAGCACCAGATGATGTTTGAAGAATCACAAAGCATGCAGATTGATCCTAAAAGAGCTCGATTTCCCTTCTGCATTGTCTGGACACCCCTACCTGTAATTTCATGGCTGATTCCTTTCATCGGCCATGTTGGCATATGCAGAGAGGATGGAGCTATTCTGGACTTTGCAGGGCCGAATTTTGTTTGTGTTGACAATTTTGCATTTGGTGCCGTAACTCGCTACATCCAGATAAACAAAGAAAAGGTATGTCTAGATTCCTGTATATGAAGTCTGAGTTACGGTTGGATTGAAGCATTTTGCAGCCCTCATAGCATTATGGGGACCTAGCAACCATTTTTAACTGTGAGGCTTGGAGTTTATAACATTGACTGTACTTTTATCATAAATCGATCAGAGTCTCTCTTTGACCTTTAATTACAAGCTGCTTTGAATTTGATGCTTATTGTTTTATTTCAATTTCTTTATAAAATAATACTCCTTGAATTGTTGTATAGGAGTGTTCCATTTCTCTCCATCCATCCGTCTCCAAAAGTGACAGTGAATACGATCTCGATATGTCTGGAAGAGAGACATTGACATGGGATGATGCATTACGAAAGGGCACACAGGAATTTCAACATCACACGTACAGTCTTTTCACTTGCAACTGCCATTCTTTTGTTGCAAACAACCTAAACAGATTGGGATTTCGTTCCGGTGGGTGGAATGTGGTGAACCTCGCCTTGTTAATGTTCCTCAAGGGTCATTGGGTCAGTACAGGATCCATGGTGCGATCTTACTTGCCTTTTATTATGGTTTGTGGTGTTGGACTTCTATTTGGTGGCATGACCTTTCTAACTTTTTTGGCCTTCTTCACATTTCTTCTTGTTGGATGGTTTCTTGTTGGTACCTATTGTTTCAAGAATTTGATCCAGCTGTAGCCTTTTTGTTAGTTGATTGATCATCTTGCTGTATAAGGATGTAGTTCGAAAAACTCCTAAAGTTAGTTTCGGTATATAACTATATATAAACTTGATTGAAATATGAAAATACTCTTTTACTTACGGCAGTGACTGCTTTGATGCAAATACCCAGCTGTTTTAACATTCACTGAATCTGGAAGGTTATGGTGAAAACCCATACTCGTACGTATACAAGCCTACTAGGCATGACCATATTTTGGTTCCAAAGCGAAATTAAATTGAATTAAAACAGAAAAAGATCAAGAAAATTAAATTGAATTGAAATAAATTAAGTTGATTGTGTAGCAAGAAAATTATTTTAATTAAAAATGGTTAAATAAAATATTATATATGTAATTTTATTAACATTAACATAAATGTTTGGACAAATGTAAAAAATTTTACAAACACAAACAACATAAATAAGTCAAAAACAATTTAAATAATGGACGTTGATATTATACATATTGTAGGTACTACTAACTGTGATATAAAACGAAATTATGTCCCATCAATATTACATTAAGTATATATCATTAATCATAATTGGGATGTTTTAATGAATCTTAAAATTCTATTGTGGAAGTTTTTTATTATCATACCACTATATTTATTTTTACTTTTTTTGGAGAAAAATCACCACAAATTTAGAGATTAGAATCATACTGTGAAAGTTTTGTCTTATTATACTACTGTATATATATTTACTTTCTCTATGGAAAAAATACCATAAAGTTTATTTTTTTTGTTAAATAAATTTTATTTTCTTTGGTTATTAACTTGAATTTGTCAAATATGAGATTTTATTTGAATTGCTATGTACAATTTTTGTTTGCTATAAATGACATGTTTAAGACCTTTTGCCTTAATATTGGTAACCCATTTTTTGTTTTGTTATTTAAATGATAATTTTTAATATTTTTAACTAATTTTAAATTTTTTAGTCAAACAATACAAAATAAGCTGTAAAAAATATTTTTCGAAAATAAGTTAGTTTGTAAGTAAACGAAGCCTTAAATTTAGTGTCACTTTGTACCTTGTAGGAGGAAGATTGTCACTATTTGATATATAGTTTGCTGCATATAGACATAACGTGTTGCTTATGGTAAATTTGTAACAATTAGTTTATATAGTTGATTTTTTTCATAGTTGTCAAATATATATTGATTTTTCTATATTTGATTGCAACATTTATTTATTATTTTTCTAATACATTTAATACTCTTAATCAGCTTGATTTTTGAACTGTAGTCGTGCGGATTCTTCCATGTTTGTTTGTCGACGTCATGGTCGTTGCCTCATTCTTCTTTTATATGTACAGGAGATGGATTTGTCTGCAGATGATGATGATGTCCACTCTTGGCTCGATGCGCTTAACGAAAGGGAAGGAACTCTACTCTATCATGTTGATTTTCTATATTTGATTGTGACATTTATTTATTACTTTTGTAAGAAATTTAGTGTTCTTCAATGAAGTTACAAGTTAAAGGGGTGAGTAGGCATAATTAGAATAAGATTAAATTATCTTTATTGCGAGTTCCCTCCGAGATGAGGGTTAGGGTTTCCTCAACATGAGGCTTTAGGGTTTTCGTATGATTGTGGCTTTGTCATCTAGCTATTGAGAGTTTGGTCTTGTGATCGCTACTGTGGCCCATCTCTCATTTTCCTCTTCGTTCTTTGTTTCTTTCTCCTAGTTATTTTTCGATTTTTCTCCTCCTTAATTCTTTTCTCTGTCGCTTTATTTTAGTTTTCTTTTTGGTACATTTTTCTCCTTTGACTCTGCTTTCTTAAACTCTTGCTTTGCTGTTTTAGGTATTTCGTCTTCGAGTCTGCACCTTTGTTTCTACATCCCTGACAAGGACGACTATAAGTTTGGTTGCAGAGGATGAGTTTTGTGAAAATAAACCAACCAACCCTAGAAGAGTCAGAGGCAAAAGAGATTCCTGCAGCTAAAAATACCCCAGATCAGAGACAAGAAACACTTTGCTTGGCAAGTTATGGACATATAGGTCTTTTAACAAATATGCATTGATGGACGCTATGGTTAGGGTATGGAAGGCTAAACACAGAGTTGTTGCAAGAAAGTGGGGAAAAGAAATTTTCTCGTTCCAGTTTCACCATTAGAAGGATATGCAACATGTCCTAAACAACTCACCCTAGCATTTTGATAAGAGTCATGTTTCCGAAGGAGGTCATAGGGATAGAGCAACCATCCAATATAGAATTTCACTCATGTCTTATTTGGGTCCGTGCGCATGACCTCCCTCTTCGATGCATGATAGAATTGGTGGCTAGGGGCATCAATGCAAAGTTGGGAGAATTTATAGAATGGTATAAGGATAAGGGAGTAGGCTAGGGAAAATACATTCGTTTTCATGTGGATTTGGATCTTCATAAGGCATTATTATGAGGAACTATGATAAATTTTTGTGGAAAACCTTTGTGGAACCCCTTAAAATATGAGGGACTACCCCTTTTCTGCTATTTGTCTGGAAATGTGGCGACTCCCAAAAATCATATGACCTAGAAGACAACTCGGAGGATCAAGATAAGGAGAGTTTGCCTTATAGCAATGTTCTAAAGGCATCACGTTTCCGTAAAGGCTATAGTTTTGTGTCTCTGACCAATGACAAGGGTTCAGCAACAAGGAAGTTAGTGTTTCGACTTATTATGCAAACTGTCTAAAATCAGTGGCGGAACTAGAAATTTAGATTGGGGGGGTGAAAATAATATTTCTTTTATTGATAATTAAACCAGGAAAAACTTAACATGACACACCAAAATAAAAATCAATCAATAGGATTCTTTAATTCTTATCCTACTACATTAAGTGTGATATATTAAGTGAAAAAATCTAGTAAGAATTATAAGAAAAAATGACAGTGAAAAAAGTAATAAAAGAAAATAGGAGAAGATTCAAATAAACATCTAAGATTATAATTTATCTTGTCTATCTATACTAGATGTCTTCTTGGCGTCTTGAGCTGCACCCGTCGCTCTTTCATTGTATAAAACTCATCAATTATAGAATCGATACTAAAAGTCTCAGCTATCTCTTTCTCACTATATATAATCAAGGAATTTACAAGAAAACCATCTCCCATCTTATTACGAAGCTTGTTCTTTATAAGACTCATAGCCGAGAAAGCACGTCCAATAGTTGTAGTTGAGACTGGAAGAGTCAAAAGAAGTCTAACTAACCTATCAATAAGAGGATAAATTGTTGCTGTCCTCGATTTAGCTAAATACTGGCACAATTTAGAGATAGTTGACAGTGTTTGCATCTCAGAATAATATAGAATATCAAGTTCAAAAAGCTCTAATTGATATCTTAAATGTAATCTTTCTTGTTTTAAAAAATCTTCAAAATAAAACTTATTCATAAGGCTGCAAACATCATCAATTCTAAATGACTTGAAACCATCCCTTGGATCTAAAAAGGAGCTAAGAATAAGCAACTCCATCATATCTTCCTTAAATCTAACATTCCATTCTTGCAACTGTGAGTCAATATTAACAATGAATACATCAACTCGAAAATAATGCTCCAATGTAATTGGGTCTAGAATGAGCATTCATATTGGGGATATCAACTTTATGTTTCTCACAGAAAAATTTGACTCTTTAAAACAATGAATCCATCCATTTTCTCTCATTTTCTGAATCAATATTTTTGTTGTTAACATTAAACGCATTGCATTTAAAATATCTTGAGACTTGCGCTATAAAGCCTGACAAAGGTTATCTGTGATCTCATGTATCTCTTTCATAAGATGCAAAACAAACACAAATTCAAAAGAAGTGATAGCATTATAAGCATAATCAACATCGCCCCTTCGACTATAAGTAGCCCCTTCAGCATTATGATTTTCAAAACTAAACAAGTTGCTTCAAACATATTCACCAAGCTTCTAATAGAACTTAAGTGAGAACTCCATCGAGTATCACCAGCCCGTTTTATAGTACCAATTTGATCTAATCCTTTACTAGTTTCAAGTTCATCTTGAGCAATTAATTTCTCTAGTTCAGTAATTTGGGTAGCTTGCAATTGATCATGCCTTTTAGAAGTGGACGTAACAACAATGTTAATGAGAGTCAATTTAGAAAAAAAAATTGATGAATTGAAATTATCACTCTAGATGCTGCAACCAATGCCAATTGGAGTCGATGAGCAAAACAATGTGTGTAATAGGCATATGGACATTCACTCAAAAATAAAGCTTGTAATCCAGACCATTCTCCACGCATATTACTAGCTCCATCATAACCTTGTCCTCGAATATTTTTTATATTCAAGTTATGCCTAGCAAGGACATCTGAAATTTCTTTTTTTCAAAGTTAAAGCAACAGTATCAAAGACATGAACTAGTTCAAAAAAATGCTCTTGTACATAGCCATCTTTATGAACAAATTCAACACAATGGCCATTTGCTCTCTATTTGCTTCATCACGAGCCTCATCAATAATAATGCAAAATTTTTCATCACCAATCTCATCACGGATTGCATCTTGAATCTTATTAGAAATGATATGTAAAATTTCTTTTTGAACTTTAGGAGAAATTAAAATGCATTTTGAGGAGCATTTTCTAAAACCACCGATTCCACCTTATCATTATAAGAACCAAAAATTTAACAAGTTCAATGAAATTCCCCCTTTTTTTTTGAATTGGAGCTTTCATCATGACCTCTTAGAGCACATGCCTAGAATGTCAACCATTTAACAACATTACATGAGACTTTTAATCTTAGATAATTATTTTTAATTTGTTGACAACATTGCTTTTCAATCACCTTCTCAATATGCTAATTTTGATTCATAAGATCTTTAGACTTTCCCACTGCAATTTTATGTAATGAATTAGGATTTTTTTTTTCCTACATGACATAAGAATGCAAAATTTTTTCCATCCCTCACTTTTTTCCATGAATTGAATCCTTCAACTGTAAATGCAGAATAACTAGGATATCTGTCAGGCTTCTTAAAAAGATAAAAAGGACGGCAAAAGGTTGCATCTTTGGTTGGTGAATATTCTAATCATTCAAGAAATAGTTTGAACCATAAAGTTAGAAAACGACACTGATTCTTATCAATGGGATATTTCCAG